GTGAACATCGTCGAAATATCAATAATAAATCAAAATAATAGCACTGTGATTTGTATGAATCATGTTTGTAGCAGTTTTGTATTTCTTACTACGTTTTTTCAATATTACTGCTGTACCAAAACATTTTATCATTCTGACTGTGTTCACTACTTTGACTGTTTTGACTATTGGACCAACCAAAAGTCAACACAGTCACAATAGTCAACTTAGTCGAAACTGTCAATACAGACCAAACAGTTAAAATAGTCAAGGGAGTTCAAATGGTCTTGACTATCTTGGCAATCCTGACGATCCTCACTGTTTTGACTACTTTGACAATTTTGACCATTCTAACTGTGTTGACCGTTTCGACTATTTTGACTTTTGTAACTTTTCTCACTGTTTTGGCAGTCAAAACAGTCAAAGTAGGCAAAATTGAGATAATGGTAGAAAATTGTCGCAGTAGTAAAAATAGTCAAAACGGTGAAGATAGTCCAAATAGTCATGGCTATCTTGGCACTCTTGACGATCTTCACTATTTTGACTATTCTGACCATTTTAACTATTTTCACTACTCTGACAATTTGGACCATTTTGAATATTTGGACTGTTTTCACTATTTCGTCTCTTTTGACTATTGGATCAACCAAAAGTCAAATCATTGAAAACAATCAAAATAGTCGAAGCAGTGAAAATAGCCAAAATAGCCAGAAAAGGCAAGAAAGTTCTCAGTCAAACAGTTTTAACTTTTTTAACTCTTTTCACTACTTTGACGCTTTTGGCTGTTTTGACTGCTTTCACTGTCTTGACTTTTTCAATCAAACTAGTAAAATAGTCAGAAAAGTCGAGACAGTCAATACTGTCATTACAGTCAAACCAGTCAAATTAGTGAAAGTAATCAAAGCAAACCAAAGGATCAAAATAATCGAAATTGTGAAACCAGCGAAAACAATGTAAATAGTGAAAACAGTGAAAACAGTCAAAATAGTCAGAAAAGTCAAGACAGTGAAAGCATTACCAGACAGTTGGGCGCGCGACACTTGGGCGCAGACATTTGGGCGCAACGACATTTGGGCGCAGTGACGTTCGGCCGCAAAGGTATTTGGGCGCATGTACGACAAAAGCATTCAGTAAGAATGCATTTGCTAAAGTATGATGCGTAACGATAAACTTTTCTTTAAACAACCTTGGTACGGTGTGAGAGCTTTTCCTATATTACTCATATCCAAGTGCGATCACTTTTTCGTTAATCTGCATCGATAGTCACCCTCACCCCCACACCCACCCATACCGGCGCCTTTGAATCTCAACTGTCGTTGCGCCCAAATGTCGCTTGCGCCCAAATGTCTGCGCCCAAGTGCTTTGCTCCACGTTTTTGGTGGATATGCGCGTTCTTCTTGTGTTGTTATGCGCTGAAATGTTTATTATTTTCTTTATTAAAAAAATATATATAAAAGATTTTATCATAAAACCAATTCACTACATTATACATTGTAGAAGGCATGCACAAAAAAGGAAAAACTACTATTAAACAAAGGATAAATTTAGTTTTTTCTGTAGAGATCCTGTAAAACGTCATCTCTCGACTAACAGTCTCTCGATTCTTAGTTTCTATCGTCTAACCTTTAGCAAATCGAAAGCCAGCAGCATCGATGCAAATATCGGGACCACCAGGGATCATTTGTTGTAATGTTTTCAGTATGTCGGTTTTCGAGAAATTAATCGCCTCAGCTCCTTGTAATCGCGCTTTTTCCAATCGTTCTTCGCAGCAATCAATAGCAACAATTTTTTTAGCTCCAGGATAGCGAGACCACATAACAGACATCCATCCCACCGGTCCACAACCCCATACAGCCACTGTGGTTCCTTCTTGAACTCCGCCCAACACTGTTGCCTGCCAACCTGTGAAATAACGCGTATCGTGAGAAGATGAACTGAAATGTAGCACCAACAAAATACTTACCAGTACAGAGAATATCGGATAAGAACAATACTTGTTCATCTTTAACGTCACTTTTAATTTTCAACGTATTCACATCTGCGAATGGAACGCGAACGTATTCTGCTCGGCACCCGTCGTAGCCGCCTAAAAAATGTGAATAGCCAAAGACACCAGCGATATGATGAGCATAATTTTTCTCCATTTCCTTGGAGGGATTCGTATAGTCACAGAGGGAAAATAATCCTTGAGTACGGTACTGACATTCACCGCCTATTAAAACGACGAACCTTAGTTTTAACTAGAAGAGAGAATAAGTGTGTGTATACATGAGATGACAGCCGAAACAACGACACGATCGCCAACTTTGACATTTTTCACTTCAGATCCAACCGATTCAATGATACCCATACATTCATGACCTAAAATTTGACCGACAGTAGAATATAATTCTCACGATGTCAGTATCACGTACCAAGAATATCATTTTTTTCCAGACCAGCAAATTCATTGTGATACAAATGCAAATCACTGCCACAAACAATCGTCGATGTCACACGGCCAATAGCATCTCTGAGTTCGGTGATCAACGGGCGGGGACATTTGTTTACATTGATATTTTTGGCTCCTTGCCCATAAAGTTCTCATGGATAAATATCAATTTCTTGGCTGAAAGTGAAACCTACCATTCGAGAACGGTATTCATCACTGTTGGATCAGTTTTGGGATGAATCAGAGGCATTTGAATGGGTTTTGATGGTGGTTCGATGTGAACTGTAGCGAACGATGACAACGCATTCTGATGAGCCCAACGTTTGTCAATTGTTTTGGACAAATCTAATTCTACGCCAGGTGCAGATGAAGAACCTACGAAAGACCAAAGTTGATTATTTCAAATAAACGAGCTACTAGTCTCATTGGACGATCGTCTGAAATCAAAACCCTTTTGCCTTTCTCTACTGTTTTTTGGACAAGAAACGATGCTAAAATACGGTCTCCTCCGAACCGAAGAAAAGATACTAGTTTTTTATTGCAGCAGTCCTTACCACCAACTGATAGAAAAAATGAAGTAAGAAGTAATATACAGGTAGTTCAGTTTATTTTGAAACGATTTCGATCGATTTTTTCTCCGTCAATGACTTATCGAGATCCGATGATTTTCATATCAGTCTACCTCACATACATTGCACATGTTATTATAATATTCTTAGTTTGGGTAAACAAATATCTGGTAATAAA